TGCGGGGGGGGGGGGTGTTTTGTTGGAGGTTTAATTTGCTCTGTTTGTTTATTTTGAGATAGGGTCTCGCAATATAGCCCTGGCTGGCCCAAAAATCACTGTGTAGACCAGTTGACCTCAAACACAGAGATCTACCTACTTCTGCCTCCTGAGTACTGGGATTAAAGGCGCGCGCCACCACCACACAGCAGTCTTTCTGAATTATTTCTTGAGACGGGGTCTCCTACTAAGCCTTGAGCTCACTGAATGAGTTAGTCTGGAAGTCCAGTGAGCCCCCACAGGTCTCCCTGTGCCCTTCTCCCAGGTACCACCTGCCTAGTTTTTTTGTTTGTTTGTTTGTTTGTCTTTTACATGGGTCCTGAGGAATTGAACTCAAGTCTCCATGCTTGCAGGGCAAGCACTTTACCGACTGAAACACCTCTCCAATCCCAAGGTCCAGCCTTTAACTCATACTAGTCTATATTTCTTTGAATATTGTTCCTACTGTCCTAAGTCAGACTTGAAACCAGTCTCTACACACCATAAAATTCTCCTAATACAAGCCCAACTTGTCTGTTCTTACACTCTCTATACACAGGAGGATCCCCTGAGAATCCTACTCAAAACCTGTGTTCCCAGGGCTGGCGAGATGAGTCACAGGAAAAGTCACTTGTGGCCAAAAGATCTCCAGGCCCCACATGGTAAAAGAAGAGAGACAGCTCTTGACAATTGTTCTCTATCCTCAACACACGCTAAATAAATAAGCGTAATTCAATTTTTAAGATAAAATCCATGCTCCCTCAGTACTACCGTCCCCAGAGGCAGTGGTCATACGTTTTCAGTTCCTATCCATCCCCTCCTCCACCTCCCTCCCTCTACCAGCTCCCAGCTTCCCCTGCCAGGCTGGCTCTGCCCCTCTGTTTTGTATATCAGCATCCTGCCAGCCAGAATATACCACTCAGCAGAAGAGAAGCCAGCCAAAGGGCACTTTGCTCAACAAAAGCCCAGTCATTAGCTAAACAGCGAAACTAACCAAATATTGTTCCTGGAGTGTGTCCTGGTGAGCCTCAGCTTGTCCTGACACTCCACATGCAAAAGCTGGAAAAAGCTGGAATATATCCTGCATCAATTGCTGCCCCATTAAAAAAGAAAGAAAAAGAAAAGCAACTAAAACTTAGATCCCTCTTCTTCCCAAATCCTTCTCTCTGTTCTCAGCGTGTGACGTGCAGAGGTCTATTTAAGAGTTATTGCTAAGAATGGGACAGGGTTACTCCTTTGCTGATTTTCCAGACTCGAGCCTGTATTTGTTTCTCTGATCTCTTGGTGCTCAGTGCAGTGATAGGAGCGTACTCCAGATTAGCCCACCAATTTCTGCTAGTCCTACAGCCGGGGTTACAGATGTGTACCCCTGTGTCAGGGTTTTATGGCGGTTCCTGGGCTTGAACTCAGGTCCTTATGCCTGTAAGGCAAGGACTTTCACCTGCTGACCCCTCTCCTTACCCCCAAATTATTTTGAATTTTATTGAATTGCAATTACTTTCTATTTAAATGGCCACATAAGATAGTGTTTGGAGTGGTGGCTCACCTGTGGCTTAGTTCCGCCTCTGACAAGGAGCTGCTGAGTAGGTGGAGGTTATTTTAATATTAGACATCACAACAGACCTCTCTTTGTGGGGGGCAAGCCCCTTTTTGAGACAGGTCAGTGTAACAGCTCTGGCTGTCTGGAAACTCACTTTGTAGACCAGGCTGGCCCCGAGCTCACAGAGATCTGCCTGCCTCTGCCTCCTAAATGCTGGGATTAAAGGTGTGCATCACCATTGCCTGCCACGATAGATCTCATAATCAATCAAGTTCCCCTTTCTCCATTGGCTACAGAAAGTTCAGCCATACGCACGATGCACCTTCCCATTTATACCTTCGTGGGGATGGTTTTTATGCAGTGCTGGGGATTGAACCCTGGCCCTTTGCACATGCTAAATATGTTTTAGGACATCTCTAGGCCCCATGTAACCTTGGCTACATGTTGTCATACTCAGTCAATTTCTCTTTCCTACTTTCATCTTTCTGTTTAGTATTTAGGACATATATATATGCATATATATATACACATATGTGTATATATATACATATATGTGTGTGTATATATGTCTGTATGAGTATATGCCTTGTGTGTGGGTACCCGCAGATGTGTTGGATCTCCTAGAGATAGACTTGCAAGAGGTTGGTTGTGAGCCACCTGACATAGATGGTGGGAATCGAACCCAGGACCTCTGGAAAAGAAGGAAGTGCTCAAAATCCCTGAGCCATCTTCCTAGATCCTGTATTTGTTTTGAGACAAACTCTTGCTGTGTAGCCCAGGCTGACCTGAGACTCACCACGTAGCCTAGGCTAGCCTTGAATTTGTGTTAACCCTCATACCACTGCTTCCCAAGTGCTAGGATTGCAAGTATGCACCACCACACTTGGCTTGTTTTATTTTTTAAGTCTATAGTTCAATGATTTTTGGTAAATTTATAAAGTTGCTCAATAGTCAGCACAATTTAGCTTAAAATCACTTACATCACCCTGAAAACGTTTCCAATCAGTTGCCGTCGATCCCCACGGTCGACCACGGTCCACATTCTGTCTGTAAAATGACTTCTGGAAATTTCCACAGAAACAAAATCACATGATATGCATTTCCCTTTATGAAATCTTCTACATTTCTTAGCCAGGCATAGCAGTGCAGACCTTTAATCCCAGCTCTCAGGAGACAGAGGCAGGAGGATCTCTGTGAGTTCAAGGCCACCCTGGTCCAGTGACCAGGATGGCCAGCGCTTCATAATGAGACCCTGTCTCAAGAACAAACAGACAAATAAGCAAACAGAAATTAAAACATTTCTTCATTTATTGTGTTCGTGTGTGTGTGTGTGCACACGAGTGTGCCACAACACATTCAGATGGCTCACAACACAGGCCGAGGACAACTTGCAGGCTTCAGTTCTCTCATTCCGTCATGTTGGGCCCAGGGGTCAAATCAGATTGGCAGGGTTGGCAGCAAGTGCCTTCACCTGCTGAGCCGTCTCACAGACACCTCTCTTGATTAAGTATCTTTTTCTTTCCTTGAGGAGTGAAACACAGGGTCTGTCGCCTGCTAGCCTCTGCGTACTGAACTATGCATAAATCCCAAGCCCATAACATGTTTGTTTACATCCCATTTCTCCCACTGAGTGTGTTCCTCAGGTTCCTCCGTAGTCATCATTTGCCCATCGCCTGTTCCTTTTATTGCTGAAAAGTTCGGTGTGCTATGGATGTGCTACATTTTATTCAGCAATTCACCGAATCATAAACATTTGGGTTGCTTCAACTTTGTGCCATTACGGCTGCCTCTGCTGTGAGCTTCAACATATCAGTCCTGCTATAGGCATACGCTTTGATTTCTCTGGAGCGAATACCTGTAAGGGACACTGCAGGGTCACATGGTAAAATTGTATTAAAAATCTGACAAGTTCCTATTCAAGGTGCTGTAGCACTTTCCGCTCCCATAAACTACACGTATGAGGAAGGTTCTAGTGTCTCCGCGCTCTCATCAATGCTTGCTATTGCCTGTCTTATTGATCAGACCCATCCTTGTAGGCGAAAAGTGATATCTCACTGTGGTTTTGATTCACATCCCCCTTCTCTTTTACTGTGCCGGAGGTTACATCCAGAGCTTGTGTGTACAAGGCAACCATTCTATTGAGCAAAAGACCCCAATCCCTTTGCTTTGCATTTGCCTAATGACTAGTAATGATGTTAATCATCTTTTTTTTTTCTTTTAGACAAGGTATCACTGTGTGGCTCTGACTGGCCTGGAATTTACTCTGTAGACCAGGTTGACCTCAACTCATAGAGATCTGCCTGCCTCTGCCTCCCTAGTGCTGAGACTAAAGAGTGAGCCACTACACACACCCAGCGGATGGTGTTTCGCTTCAGTTTTTTTTTTAATTTAAAAAAGTCTTTAGACTTTTTAAAGTCTATTTTTCTTTTCTTATTGTGCCTTTGTCATCAGACCTAGGAGCTCTTTGCCGAATCAAAGTCCTGAAAACTTGATCCTGTGTTTCCTTAGGATTCTGTGGTTTCTGTTCTTGTGCTGCTGTCAGATTCGCTGGGGTTATTTTGGTGCAATTCTAAATTCACATTTTGCATGTGAGTATCCAGTTCTCTGAAAGCCATTTGTTAAAAAAGACCGTCCTTTCCACACCAAATCGCCTTGGCACCTTTGTAAAAAATCAATTGGCCATAAATATAAGGGTTTCTTCCTAGACTCTGGATTCTGTCCCATTGATTTGCGAGCTTGCTTAGTCCCACACGCTCCTGATTACTGTCCTTGTATTCTTTTTTTTTTCCCTGTGTCTTCCATACACTTATCTTTAATTTTATTTAACTGGGAAAATATATCATTCCCAAATTGATATTAGCCTTTGGCAAAAATGTAATTGAGGCTTCCTAAAATCAAACCATCAAGGCCTCTCTTGTGAACATCATTGCAAAACCATTAAAGGGACGACAACCATATTCTTATTCAAACAAACCCCAAAGGGGATCAAGAAAGGAACAGACATCTACCCTTGCCACAATAATCGGATTTACTGATTCTCAGGGAGCAGGGAAGACACACTGCTAATTAGGAGGCAGTTAAGGAATTATTTCCCTTCTCACTGTAGCTTTAGAATGTACTAGGCTGAAGAAGCAATGTCTGACTTTGAGCTGCGAGTATGAAAGTATTTTATTTAGCAGGCTCAGTAAGAATAACAAGCATCGAAAAGAAAGCCCTGTATGGTGAGCTCCGCGCCCACTCAAAGCTTAGGAGGTGGAACGGCACCGGCGCCCGTCCCCTACTACAAACACCTTTAAGAAGTGGTTCCAATCCCAGCATTGCCCATCTCTGAACGCATCCTGCGGATGGAACGTGACCGTGAGAGCTGACTGGGAAAACGGAAGGGCCCCAGGGAGGTAGTGCTCACCTTGACAAGGGAGGAAGGAATTTTTCTGTTCCGCTGTTGTTTGAAACAAGGTCTTGCTCTATAGAAACCCTGGCTTAGAATTTCCACTATAGCCCATGATGGCTTCAAAATCGTGGCAATCCTCCTGCCTCGGGCTCTCAAGTGCTAAGATTACAAGTCTGAGCTACATGAGCTAGGGAAGAGTTTTCTGAAAATGAAAAACTCTTGTGTTGCGGGGGTGGGGAGGATTGAAGGACTGTAGAGGAGAGAGTGGAAGAAGGGTAATATGGATCAGCAGGTAAAGGTGCTTTCCCGCCAACCCTGATGACCTAACGTTCGATCCCTAGACCCCACGACGTAGGAGGAGCGTCTGTGCGGTGGAAAGTGAGGCACCTCTAGGCCAGATGCCACCCCCATAAGTCACCCTCTGGCTTCCACAAGCACACCTAGGCTCATACCTCTGCCCATTTAAGTAAATAAGTAAATTTAATTTTTAAAAGTCTTTAAAATAAAAAGAAGACAAGAGAGTAGAGATAGCTTCTCCTCCAGTCCCTCTCATGGGTTAAAACAGAGTTTTGTTATACTGTCCAGGCTGGCCTCCAACTTGTGGCGATTCTCCTGTCTTAGCTCCCAAGTGCTGGCATTACACGTGTGTGTCACCATAGCCATGAGAGTCTTTTCTTCCTGGTCTTTGAGATATTCTAGTTCTTACCTCAATGTCATATTCTGTCTAGATTGTGAGTTATCTTTTAAGTCACTTTATTCAGGTCTGGGGCGTGGCTCAGTTGGTAAAGCTCTTGCGTAGCCTGCAGGAAGCCCCAGGTTCAATCCTCAGGATCACGTGAACCTGGTGCGGTAGTGCGTGCCTGTCATTTCTGCACGCTCAAGGTGGAGGTGGGAAGGTCAAGAGTTCAGGAGTTCACAAGGCTAGCCTGAGTTACGTGAGACCCTTTCCAAAATCAGTCAATTGATTAACAGAAGAAAAGACGCACGGCTCTTCTTTGAAGTGAGTCACACGATAGACCATGATCAGGAGGTGGTCTTGGGGGATAAAGGAGGTGAGGGGGTAGGGAGCTGGGGCTCAGGGACGGGAATAGTGTTTTCTGGAGATGGGACAGATTCACGTTCCAGGTGCTGACCGACAACAAGGGTGACTCCTCCTGCAGAGCTCGAGCCAGAACCTGATGGAATAGAAACGAACGTTAGACTGGATCGTCTTCGTGATGAGAACACTATCAAGAAGACATGGCTGTCTAGTTTTAAATAAAAAGTTCCCATGTTCGGTAGCATGCCTGATGAGATGCCTAGCCTTCCTTCTGTGTGCGGTTCTCAACCAGTGAGTCTCAAACCATCAAAAAACACGTATTTCCAGTAGTCTTAGGAACCCCCAACCATGAATTTATTTATTTATTTATTTATTTATTTATTTATGTATTTATTTATTTATTTTGATTTTTTTGAGACAGGGTTTCTCTGTAGTTTTTGGTGCCTGTCCTGGAACTAACTCTTGTAGACCAGGCTGGCCTCGAACACACAGAGATCCGCCTGCCTCTGCCTCCCGCGTGCTGGGATTAAAGGCGTGCGCCACCACCGCCCGGCCCATGAATTTATTTTTATTGCCAGTCCATAATTCTAATTTTGCTAACAAATGGTGTCTTAGTTCCTAAGACCATCTGAAATATGTGTGTTCTGTCGGTTGCAACCCACAGGTTGAGAACCACTGTTCTAGGTGGTGCGCATTGGCTTGGAATGTTCACAATTTATGAGGGAGGCAGCAAAGGTATCACCCACATTCTACATTGCTACCGTTTTATATAAAAATCAACTGATAAAGATCTCAAAGGAAGGCTTCTGCTTCCCTGTTTAAGTTAGATGAAAATCTCCTACTTCAGGGATAAGTACACTATATGAGCTTTTATTTCTTTGTGTGTTTATATGGGTGTGTGGTGTGTATGTGTGCTACTTCACACACACGGAGGTCAGAGGACACCTTTCAGGACACCTTTCTTTCAGGGGCCAGTTCTCTCACACTGAGATCACCAGAGTCGCTTTTACCTTACGAACCATCTCAGCGGCGCCTACATGAAATTTTGAAGTGTAATTTATAACAAATATATTCCAAACACCTTTTGGGCAGGGATCCCCTCTCTTGATGTTGGTCAGCCCCTGGAACGTGAAGTTGCCCCATCTCCAGGAAATACTGCCTTCTTCCCTGAACCCTAGCAGCTCCCTGCCCCTCACCACATCACCTTTATTCTCCCCAAGACCATCTCCCGAGCCTGCCTTTCCACTCAGTTCCTTTGCTCATTTGCCGGAGACGGAGTCTCATCATGTAGCCAGGTTGGCTTCAAACTCATGATTGTCTTGCTTCGTTCCTGACGGCTGGGATTGCAGGTCTTTGCCTCCTTGGCAGTTTACCTGAATCCTTTCTGAAAGGAGATAGGAAGGGGGAGGGAGAAAGGCAGTAGGGAGAGAGAGAGAGAGAGAGAGAGAGAGAGAGAGAGAGAGAGAGAGACTCAATAAATCTTGGTTGAATGAAGGAATCGGGAGAGCCAGATGGCACAAGCCCGAAGCGAGCAGGGCTCTTCCGTGAGGCTGCAGAAATAATGATCGGGGAGTGGCGTGGTGTGGAGAGTGAGAAGGCCCTGCCTGGCCGGCCTCTGCTCTGTGATTGTGGACTCGCAGCCTCCCCTGGGACGGTTGCTGCTTCCTTGGTTAGGCAGGAACTGGAGGGAAGCTTGTCTGAAGGGGCCTGAGAGGTTAAGAGATAAGGGAAGGAAAAGCAGTCAGCCAGGCAAGGGGATGTGCCAAAGGAGGTTGGTGGGGGGTGAAAACCGGGCTTTCGGGGGAGAGTAGTTGGTTAGCCAGTATATGAGACGGGGTGAAATGGGCTTGTAAATGCTTCTCCAAACCGATGCTATTAGAAGCTTGATTATGCTAATTCTAAACCCATCAAATCGCTTCTACGCTCTAGAACCTAGGCTGTCTCTGATTAAGTGCTTTACAAACACGATTCCGTGTCCTGTTTCCAGTTCTGCAGTTTTATCCCCTTTCACAGAAGGGGAAAGTAAGGCTTGGGGGAAAGGAAGGAATTGCTCTGCGGAGTCATTCAGACCCAGGTCAGCATTTCTTGAATGTCAGGCTCCCCTTCAGTAGTCTGGTCTGTCCTCACTGAGTCTCTGGGTGCTGATGGCAGCAGAAGGAGAGCCTCGGAGAGCTTGGGGGCATCCAGCATAATGTACCTGTGTAATTTCAAGAGGCCCCTCCTGGCTTCTGAACCCCTTCACTCGCACGGCCCGATCTTCCCTAGATTCCACTCCACCTCCCACAAAAAGACCAGGATCCCTAAAGATCAGAACTCCCAGGGCGATGCTCACTGTCTCATGGAGCAGCTGGTCAGCAAGAACTACTTGCCATAGCCATAGGGTGTGGCCCCTTGCGCACACTTCGGCTCTTCCAGCCTCCCAAGAAGCTAGGTTCTCTCCCTCTGTTTCTTTCCGTCTCTGTCTCTCTGTCTCTCTCCCTCTCCCTCTGTTGCTGGCACTTAATTCGCTAATTCATTCCTTCAAAAACAAAGCGAAATCAGTGCCACTTGGTTGCTTTAGCACAGATAGGAGAAGGCAGGAGGGCTCATTCAGAGCTGGGTTTTTGCCAGGCAGACGAAGATGAAAAGGTGGAGAGGCAGAGGAGCTTGGATGATTGACAAGAGTGTCATTAAGAGTTAGGCTTTGGAGCCTAAATTGGACATGGAGGAGAATGGAGGAAGGGAAGAGAGGATGCATCAGGAGATGCAGGGGTCACCAGCAGGACAGTTTGAGGGGATGGCAAGGGGCAGCAGGGGATGAGGACAGGGCCCAGTGTGTACTGCGCAGGAAGGGGGTCTTGGAGCGGGCATGTAGCTCAGTTGGTGGAGTGCTTGCTTAGGGTGGATGAAGTTTTGAGTCTGAGCCCTAGAACGGCCCAGACTGGTCATGGTGGTACTGGCTATGTAGAGAGTTTGGGGACAGCATCAAACCCCGAAAAAAATGAAGGCGGGGGGGCGGGGAGATTTTCACATGACTTATAAGAGATGAACATTGTGATGACTAGGTCTAAGAATTGGTCTATCTAATGGACATGGAAGTGACTCAACGTGGCAGCAGGAAGCCGCCAAGGCTGCTGGGAAGTCGACCAGGCTGAATGAACATGGAGGCACAGCCCCTGGACTTTGCAAATTCCAGGCAGTTATTATAGGAACTGGGGAACCCATATAATGCCAGATGCAGCAGTGGTAAGACGAGAAGTAGAGACAGGAGAATCCCCGAAAGCTTATAAGGCAGCTAGTCTGGCACACAGAGTGGTGGACAACAAGGGACACCGCCTGGAAGGCAAGGGCAGACGCTCCCCTAATTTCCACGCTCCCCTGCATTCCCCTCCATACCTGTAACATACACACATTATACACACGCAGAGTGGTTGAGAAGAGGAAATTAGTGGAGTCCCAAACCTGAACTGCAGTGGGCCCAGAAGCAAGCAAGAGATGAAGGATGAAGGAATTGACTGGGAAGGGGAGCAGAGAAGTGCCCAAGTCTCCCCCACCCTGGAGGGGGTGTGAACTCAAGGGAGGGAAGTTTCCTTCAGGGCTGGAGAGGCTTGAGCATCACAGGGAACAGGGTATAGCAAGGAGGATGCAGTGGATGGGGAAAGGGGAGAACAAAGCCCCCTTGAAATCGTAGGGATGAACAGGAAGGAGCAGTTGTGGGTGGCTTCACTTGGTGATAAGGACACTAGGGAATCCTGCTAGGGTGAGGTCAGCAGCAGCTTGTTCCATTGAGAAATTAGCTCCTGGATCGTGCCCCCACCACAGTGACTCACTGGCAAGGAAGAAAGACATTAGCCAGGCTTTGTGTTCTGGGGCCCCAGCCTTTCTCTCCCGTCAGTACCTGGGAAAGGAAGCTGGCAATCTGGTAGGTCTGCCCTCTGAGCTCTTTCTGACATCTGAGAGAGGGCAGCAACACTGTGATCCGGGGGGAGCTGGCAGTACAGATGCAGGAGGTAGGTAAACAGGGTTGTCTACCCCCAGCCCCAGGAAAGCGCCTGTGGGTGACCCAAAATGCCAAGGCTGCAGCCCTGTGAAGGCTCTATAGGAGGAGCTGCCTTGAAGAGCCTGGAATGAACAGGGTATGGTGTTGGGTAAGTGAGGCCTTGGAGATTGAGAGGGAGGGGTGAATAGTGTGTGAGGGTGAATAGTGGATACCCCATTACGATGGGGTTACTGTTTATATATATATTTTAAATCTCTTCCTGCATGGCTCAGGAGCACAGATTCATCAACTCTGGGGCTGCACCCTCCCCCCGGAATTCTTGAACTTTTGGCAAGGAGAAGGTAAGACAGCTGTGAGAGACAACAGAAACTCCTGCTGATCTGGCGGGGGGGGGGGGTACTCAGGCTGAATATAATTTGATTTCAACCAACTAAGAGATGTACTGACGTCATGAATTTGAGGACCATCCAGGGGGCCCAGGCTCTGGACAAAGGGTGACTAGGGAGTGGGAACTGACATCTGGTGCTCCCCCACCCTGCACCCTGGGGCTGGAACACAACAGACACAGAGCTACCACGAGACCTCGCGCGGCCTTCAATATGAGCACAAGGACATGCCTCCCCTCCAGGTCTAGGAGCAGGGCAGCAGGGCAGGTCCACATGGACCCTGTGCTCAGAGTTTGGCATCTGGTGTGAGTCCTGGCTTCCTTTCTTTATAAGCTATCTAGGTCTGGCCACTTGAGATTTTTTTATTCTCTCTCTCTCTCTCTCTCTCTCTCTCTCTCTCTCTCTCTCTCTTTCTCTCTCTCTCTCTCATCATGTAGCCTCAGGACCCGAGTCTCTGATTTTATTCCTGGAAGTGTATCCAGGTCCTATACATGCTGAGGTCAGAACATGGGGGTTCCAGAAATCTTCTGCCCTGCCTTCATATATACCATACCAATTGGGGAGCAACAGATGGATGAGAAATAGGATAGAGAGCAATAGTTTGAGGTTTTGCAATACCTGCGGTGGCCCCAGAATGTATCTGAGTGACTGATAGCATAAACCTAGCTGGCTTAGCAGTGAGTGGGTCTGCCATCTTTAGCCATGGGGTAGGGGAGGGCAGAGCTTCTGCACTGCGACCTTGTGAGTGTCACACTCACTAAGCCGGGCAGACGTGCAGGGCCACCAGACAGGCCTCACACCGGCACTCTAGGTGGTAAGCTGAAAAGACACAAGACAGGAGCCCCTCTTCCCGCAGATGCCGGGTCCAGGAAGACTGAGGTGTGGAGGTCTGAGCCCTGGAGAGGGAACTCTTCCTCCACCTGCTCTTCCACATCTGGTAGCTCCTTGTAAACAGAAAGGGGGGGGGGAAGTATCTTCACTTTTCAAATATTGTATACCAGGCACCTGCTGAGTGTCGGTCCCCTCGCTGGCCTCTGGAACAGGGCAGGGGATGAGGCAGGCTCCTCCAGCCCGCCCTTGCGGAATCTACAGCCTCAGCCGAGGGAAACACGAAACACGGACAGAGGGAGACTGTGGAGATAACTAACCCAGCCCAAGGCTTAGGTGTGACTTCCTGGAGAAAGCCAGGGTCCTTAGCACGTAGGACAATTCACTCCCGGAACAGCAAGTCTGGGGATGCGGGGATGAACACACAATGACGTGTAAGAGAGTTCAGGTCAAGTTTGGTTTTGTGTGGGCTAATGTCAAAGTCATAACCAATCAGTCAATCCTTCTCCATCCCCTCTGTCTCTGTCTGTCTGTCTGTCTGTCTGTCTCTCTCTCTCTCTCTCTCACACACACACACACACACACACACACACACAGACATACACACAGTTTACAGAACTGATGACCAATTAGGAAGGAAGAATTGTATTGTATTTCTGGACCAGTGACTGAGGTCCTTGCCTAAGGTGAATGGGGACAGACCTGAGATGGGAGAGATGGGGGTTCTATTTATCTGGGGGACAATTAAGATCTGCTGTGGAGAAGGCTCTTGGCATAAGGGTCTGGAGCTCACAAGAGGTCCAAGGGCTGGAAGGAGGCAGGAGGAGAGGCCTAATTCAGCGCCCTGGAAATGAAGAGATACAGCAAAGTGGTTGGAGAACCAGAGCCATGAAGGACAGTGGGAGCCAGGAAAGCCAAGGGAAAGAGCTGTTTCCACAAGTCAGCAAAAGCAGGCCGAAAATTACACGTTTTTAAGTTGGGGAACTAAACAGTCAAAGTTCTGAAAAACAGACAAAATATATTTAAAGATGCATAAAAACTGCAACAGCTCTCCCACAGCACAACAAAATTACCCGTGGGTGAAAAACCACTGCCTGAGGAGTGTTCATTTTTGATCTATTTGTCATCTGGGCCAAATTGCCCAGATTCACGGGAGCCAGGCCTATTGCCTTATCATACACCAGGGGGCGCACTCGCACTGCTTGTGAATACAGGTCCAAGACAAAAGCAGGCTGGGAATTAGGTGTTACCCTGAACTTGATCCCTCAACTCAGATCCCTAAACCTAGCAGGTAACTGCTGAGATAGCAGACTCTAGAAGCCTCAATAGTCCCCAAATCTTGTTTTTGTTTCTCATTTGATTCTAAACACATAGAAGAATCAGGGAATCCCCACAAAGGTTCTTACCTGACTCTGGTAGAGGAGAGCCTTTCATCTTCCCTTAATGGAGAAACCTCCCGGGGTGGGATTGGGCACACAAAAGGGCTGGTGTGGCCTTGGATAACTTGCTAAACGATAGTAGTAGAGCCTGGGCATTGAGGAGCCTGAAGGCTCTGGTGCCAAGGCTGGCTCTTGTTTGGAAATTGCCGAGTCCCCATAGGACCATGGGAAATATAAATCTTCAGGTAGGTTATTGGTTTAGTGCAGAGCAGTCCCCAGCATATGCTGGATACAGAGACACGCATTTGACTTTGACATGGTGATGTGAAATTCAGGTGAGATTGGGTAGGTTTGGTCTGGGACGGCTGTAGGTAGACAAGGAGTCTGAAATTCAGTGCCGAGGTTTATGCTAGACCTAGCTCTTGAGACCAGTCATCAAATTATACCTATTGGAATTAGTATAGAAATCAGGGTGTTGGTCAGCCTCTGCGTGGTGGGGCCGAGGTCAGGTCAGAGCAGTGGAAGAACAGTGTAGAGATAAAGACTTGCGTTTCTACAAAGCCAATCTTATCTTGAATTGCACAATTAGTAGAATTGGATCAGGCTATTGTACTAATGATCACAAAGGTGGGGAAGGGGTATTGATGACAGCATCTGTGTTAGGGTGTTTTCTGTTTGTTTGCTTCTTTTCCTATTCTGGTGGCCTAATCCCAAGTTTGCTATTGAAATCAACAGTTCCAGGGTTGGAGATATGGCTCCGCAGTTAAGAGCACTTAATGGAGCAGAGGACTTGGGTCTGGTTCCCAGCATCCACATTGGGTTGCTCATATCCTCCTATAACTGTGGTTCCAAGCGATCTGAAGCCCTCTCAGGCCTCTGCCAGCAACTGCGCTTATGCTGAGCATGCGAGCGCGCGCGCGCGCACACACACACACACACACACACACACACACTAAATAAATAAATAAATAAATAAATGTTTTCCCAAAAAATGAGAATCTCAGAAAATGTACAGACCTGGAATGAAAATAAACCAGCGACATTTTATTTAGGGACTCAGACTCAGGAAAGCATTGGGGTACGGTGGGTGTGAGGATGTAAGACATCTACCTTTGAGTTTAGTAGGTTTACTTGGGGGAGTCCATTTAGACCAAGGGTTCGGGCCTCTGTCAATATCAAGCCATGACCAGATAGAAGGAATATAGCCATTTAGGGTTAGAATCTCTAATTGGAGTCAATACACTATATGGTTGCAGACAAAAATTACTACTTGCTCTGGTTGTTAGGCAAATTTAGGGGTCTGGACTCAACCTTTGGTTCAAAGGTTGTTCTGGGCTGAGTATCAGATTTATATCTGTATTGGAGGTAGGGGATCCCCAAGAAGTATTAGGTTCATGTGAAGATTTGGGAGGGTCTGGACTTGGTGTCGGAGTTTGGGTCTATCCACGCTTTTTTACTGAGGTTTAAGCTCAATCTTGGCGTTGCAGTCGGTTTAGACTTGGGGTTGGGTTGCAGCCTCTTTGGGCCTACAGCTTCACTCCTCTACAAGCGAGAGTGCACG